CTTCTTCAACTGTTGGAGTCAATTTGACAGCTTCCTCAGCATCAGGCTTTGGCCATAGGATCATTCTTGACGATGCTCAGCAGAGGCTTCCACCATCCTGGCCTTTAATTCCCTGCTGAGCAGTTGCTGCTGCTTACGATCTCGTAACTCTATTGCCAGAGCTATGTGAGCAGAGAGCAGGCGCTGCCCAGCTGTCATTCAGGTTTCTGCAGTGTAGCTCCTGCATAGTGAAACCAATATGAGTTCCTAGCTGGCATCTGATGCTTTCTGCCTTGGAGCATAAGGTGAGAAGCTCTGCACGTGACTCAGAGAGCTGTACCGAAGGGATTGATGGCTTCATCTGACAGCACTGAGGAGGACAGAGCGTGGGCACCGTGACCTCATGGCAGTACTGACTGCAGGTAAACCTGCACTGCTTTGCCTTGTTGGGGTGGGGCTGTGTTGGGTGGGCCTGGAAGAGTTCGGTCTTGGTGCAAACTGAGGACAGCCAAGCCAAGTCCTGGGGTTTTTCTGCTGCTACAAAAGATGTAGGGAGCTGCATCCCCCTATAGAAATGACTGAATGTCGAACAATGCCTGAGTAACAGTGCCTGAGTCTATAGAAGCATCTGTGTTCCTCTGGCTTGAGAGGCTTTGATTTTTCTGTATAAATTGCTTTCTTGTGTCTTGGAAGTGATCTATCAAAATTAAACCTCACCGAGCACAACTGTCCTATTAAAAATGAGATCCTGTCGTATTCTGAATAACAGCTGAGTAGGGCTATTTAGGATTCTTATATACCATCTGCATTTGCTTAAAGCAAATTCTGCTTTGCTTCCTGATAGTACTTCATAGAATTGCAAGGTTGGAAAGGACCTGCAAGATCATCTAGTCCAACCATCCTTCTTCTGTGACACGTGAAATCTGGAGGGAAAAAACCAACAAAGAGCTGGCAGTGCTTCAGTGCATGGTGGGTGGTGGTACTGCTGTGCTCGAGTGTTCAGCCCTGCAGGCACCAAGTTTGGGAATGGGGCTCTGAGCACCTGGTGGAGCTGCGGATGCCCCTGCTCAGTGCGGGGAGTTGGGACCAGATGGCCTTTAAGGTCCCTTCCAACTCCATCGATTTTCATTTAAGCCTTATTGCTACCTGCACCATCTTGTTGTCAGCCACAGCCACGAGAGGGAGCCTGGCTGCAAGCACAGCTCTGTAGGGATAGAGAACAAAAGATAAACGGAGAGACGCTGGTTTTTCAGCGTGGTCGCAGCGTGTCTTACGAAGTGTTCCCAGGAAGTTCTGTGTTTGCAGTTAATTTCTCTATCAGCCATCTGGGATTGCAGGTGACACTGGGAGGCTTTCTGTGGGAGATCAGGGGTTGTCGCTCCTCCAGGTGACTGTCATTGTGTCACGGTGTCATTGCTGTGCTGGCACCGCCCGGGGTGACGCTGGGGTCAGCTCTCCCTTACGCTCAGCACGGCACCTTCTGGGGAGAACTGGGGCAAACTGGAGCGAGAAGTGTTGCTGCAGTGTCACCTTCTGGTGGCAAAGCGCAGGTGGCTCATAGCTGATGATCCTGCACCTAAAGCACAGAGTTAACAGTGCGACCACTTCTATTTCCCAGCAATGACTTCTGAGAATAACATCAAACTATTTTGCTGATGCTGAGCTAGCGAAGTTTGATGGAAATGCAAACACATCATTATTGTGCTCAATCCATAGGGTGGTTCTGGGTCAGAAGTTTCAGGAAGGGCAGATCTTTTGGCTGAGTCGATTGAGATGTGCTCAAACCAAAATGACTTGTGGCATCAGTGAGAAAGAATTGTCCTTGTTAAAGAGTTAAGGAGCTTCTCTTAGTCAGGGCCAGTTGTTGGTGCTTTTCAGCCCTGTCAGATGACTGTACTCTTCTCCCACCAACAAATAGATGAGGTGTTTGTGTATAACAGCACTCACTGGCAGCCACCTGCTGAGTTAGCCTGGAGGAAAGCCTTTCCTTTTGCTTCCTCTTTCTTCCCCTGCCCACAGGGGTCCCCAGCTGCCACCAGCAGCAATCCAGGAACTGGCAGTCCAGGAATCCTTCCCTGGAGCTGAGAAGGTCCTTGCTGGCAGGAGGTGGCTGTGCTCGCACACAGAGTCAGCACAGCAGCAGGAGGGGGGTTGCCTGGACCTCCTGTCCCAGTATTTCTCTGTCTTGCAGTTATAGGGTCATGGCTCCTGTGCCTGGGACACAACTCAGAGCTTTCAGATGGTACTGGGGATAAGGTCCAAGCTCTGCTCTGCACCCCCAAGAAGGGCTCCACAGGGTTTGGTTCAGCACGAAGCATTTTGGGGGCTCAGGTGAGCTCCCCCAGTGCTGCTGGCCGGCTGGTTGCTTGCAGTGAGGCAGAGCAAAGCACAGTGCTGCTCAGCCACTTTTGCAGCAGAACCCTTTCTCCTGACCCAGCTGTGTGACTCCTGCCCTCGCTTCGCCTTCCCATTTCTCACCAGTATCTGTAAAACTCTGTGTTACCGACCTCTGTGCCAGCCCCATCAGCACGCAGCGTCGGCGCTCAGCCTTCTCCCATAGCAAGAGACGCACAGTTCACAGGGGGAAGAATCCTCCAGCACAGCAATGCCATTCAGCCCTCTCTCAGGCATTCCGTGCCCTTGCTGCAGCCTCCCCTGCCCATCTGTGCGTGCAGCCCTGCACCCAGCTGTGGGGAGGATGCAGTGTGAGCGAGCAGAGGGGGCTCTCTGCCCTGCACGCCGCTCGCAGCAATAGGGCTCTGCGCCTGCCTGGCTCCAGGATGCTGCATCTGAAGGTCCAGTTCCTGGATGACTCCCAGAAGATCTTTGTAGTGGACGTAAGTGTGTCTTATAGAGTCTTATAGAGAAAGAGGAATGGCTTTTGCTTCTCTGGTGTTATCCTTTGGATACTGGGGAAGGTGAGGTGATGCTCTGGGCGGGGGTGGGGTGCTCTCGTTTCTCTGGCTGCTGTGTTAGCATCCAACAAGCAAAAATAAGTCTGAGAACAGCATGAAAATTGCAGCTTGAACCACACAACCTGTGGTGAGAAACGTCTGTGTGCATCTCTCCTTAGGCATCGGGATGAAAAAGACAAGTATGTGGTTTTGGGAATAGCTAAGGAACAAGCTGACTGTATCTTGTTTTTACATGGCAGTGTCCCAAGGCACACTGTCACTGATAATTCACAGGTAACGAGTATCAGCTCTGAACATCCACTGCTGAAATACTTTTCGTATGTCAGACATTGATCTCAGAGGTGTTGGATTGGGGTGTGTGTGTACATGGATGACTGAAACTGAAGGTGATCGATGCCCTGTCTGTGTGCTGGAAGTGGGACTGAGCTGTTGGTTGGGCTTTGTTAATCACAGCAGCTGATTGAATGAGATAATCCAAGTGAATCTGTTCTAACCTTTACCTGCGTCCATTATGGGACTGCTGTGTTTAATATAAAAGTCATTTTTTAATGTTCTGTTGCAGTTCTTAGGCTCTTGTGTTCTCTTTATAGACCACTGCTCAGTCTGGATGCGCTGTTCGGTTGCTTTGTGACAGCGATTCTGCACAAAGAGGGTTGCAAAGTAATTCCATCATTTGGGATGCCACGGAGGTCGTCTGATTTGGTTTCTTTGATGCATTTTAGACCTGAGTTTTTCTTATAAATGAGAGTGGTCATTTACAGATGTTTGCCAGGGGTTCGTATTGATTAGATCAGGGCACCGTGAGAGACCATTGGAAAGATGCTGCTGTTACAATATTGCTGCATTTTATCCATCTCTGCTCTCTTCTTTGCTCAAAACAGTCCTGTGCCTCTGCTCACTATAGTGCAACAAATAGGTTCCATTAGAGGGACTCGGAGCCATTTCCTTTTTTAGCGTGGTAGGGTCCTGGAAATCCCTTTGGGGCCCTTTGTGTGTTTCATGCTGTGTGGTTCAGATGAATGAGAACTGGATTAAGAGACTTCTCCATTAGAAAGGGACCGCTTTGGGCTAAGTCTTGAGCATGCATTTGGAGACACTCATCCTAAGCCCTTCCCGAGTTTGGAAAGCTTTTTTCAATGGAGAGCACTTCAGTATAATGGAAGGAGAAGGACAGCAGAGAAAAAACATGGCAGGGCTGGTTACAAATCAGCGTAACACAGCGCTCCGGGGCAGGGGAAGGTATCAGTGAGTGGGTGCCTGGCTCTGGGTGGGCACAGGGCTGCTCTGCTGCTTGCAACGCTGCGAAGGAGGGCGAGCACAGCCTCTCCTTCCCACCATCCCCACCGCTGTGCCCTGCAGCAGCCCCACAGGCAGCACCGAGGGCACATTTAGGGGACGTGGGCTGCAGCCCAGCCCTGTGCAGCAGCTGTGTGCAATGCACGCAGCCCAGCCAGCAGCTCGCTGCCCACACACGGGTGGGGAGCAACCCGCTGGGACGTGCCCGCCTTCCCCGCACGCCTGACAAAGGCCAAGGCCTTTCATGCTGGAAAATTCTAGCTTAGAAATCAACCATTATAATTGTTTTTAATTAGCCTTGCGATCTTGTAATTTCAAGGAGAACCGGGTGTGCTGCAGAGCCAATGCTGTTATTAGGCTATCACTGTGCAGCAGGCTGACAGTGCAGAGCTGGCAGCGGCTGTGACAGGTGCTCATTACTGAGCCCTGAGCCACCCCCAGCGGCGCGGCGGGGCGCCCCCGCGCGAACCCTGAGCTGCCCCTGTGCCGACCTGTCTGTGTTCCTGGCGTCTCTGCCCAAGTTGGTAACTTAGGAATTGAGTTTTTGCTGATTTTTCTCTCTGCCCTGTTTAGTTTTGGTGCTTTCTGGCCTCCCGTGTCACAGCGTGGTGCTACTTCATTAGCACTTTGCTGACCCAGGGTGCAGGATCTCTGCAGGCTCTGGTGTTGTTAATTACCACTAATTGCAGCTTATCGTGCCTAGCTGTGGGGCAGCCAGGTAGTGTCTGTCTGCAGCTCTAATCCCAACAGCAGTGACTGCAGCGGGTGTCCTGAGACTGAGAGTTCTCTCCCGGTTTATCAAGCTCCTAAAGAAAGGTGAGAAGTGATGGGGAGAAATCTGACCTCCACGAGCCAAGCTAAGTGGCATAAAGCTGCAATTGTCCCATCCCATCTTACAAAGACATTTACTGAGTAAGGTTTTGCTGTGGCACAGTAACAAAGCAGCCCACAGCCCACCTCAGCGGAAGGGAAGGGGATGAACAACTTCCCAACCTCCCTGAATCCCCCTCCCCCATGCTGTCAGCACTGCTAACCTGTTGCTTCTCCATGTATTTGCTCACCAGCAAAAGTCCTGCGGGAAGGGGCTGTTCAACCTCACCTGCAGCCACCTCAACCTGGTGGAGAAGGAATACTTCGGGCTGGAGTTCTGCACCCAGGCTGGGAACCACGTGAGTGCGTGCGCTGTGCCCACAGCGTGGCAGCAGCGTCCTGCATCGGGGCACCGGGTAGAAAATGGAGATGGGAACACCTTGAAAATGGGAGCTGCAGGTCAGAGCCAGGCTGACAAAGCCCTGGGGACAACCACAGCTTGCTCATGGGGTTTACCCATAGCCACCTGTGGCAGTGCAGGATAGCCCCACACTGGTCAGTGCTCCTTTATGGCATCCCACCATGGTGCTGCTGCTTTCATTTCTGCTGGCCTCGTGCTGTTTGCTGACTTAACTCTTTGTTGTCTTGTTTCAGGTCTGGTTGGAGCCTCTAAAGCCCATAACAAAGCAGATTAAAAGTAAGTATTGCCAGAATTAGGTTCTTCTCAATCATTGCGGAGCCAGACAGCACTGCAGTCTGCTGTCCTTTGTGCTTGGGGATGGGAGCTCTGCCTTCTGGCGTTTACCTGCCCTCCCTTAATGGGTTGAGGCTGGGCAGGGTTGTTTGCAAAGACACATGAACCCTGGCAGGAATGTTTCTGCAAAGTGCTAGCTGCATGTTTTAGGCTTGAGCTGTTCATATGCCAACAGCTGGGGTGGCTGTGTGTGTGCATTGCTGTGCTGGCAGAGCAGTGGGGATCGTTTTCTGAATGCCCTCCTTTCCCATCTGCAGCTCTTTGCAGCCCAGGTGCCCAGCTGTAAGGCATTCAGCACACAGTGACCCCGCTCCCTCCCATACCCAAGGCCCCACTGCTGCATAGTGATGCTGCACAGCCCGACCTGAATGCATGAGCAGTGCTAACACAGCCCCTCCTTCAGCCTGTTCCTGCCCCTGCAATGAACCAAATGATATTTGCCACAAATACACGATGGTTAGGAGGTGGTCAAAAGCATAGGGCCTGTGTTTCTATTGGGAGTCCTGGAGCTGTCCTGCAGTGGCTCTCTTGGTGCCCACAGAGTTGGCTTCATACCTCCATATGCTTTGCCTTGGGTTTGGCTGCTTGCTCTTGCTTGTCTCACAGAACAGCTCTGCCCAGTCGGAATCCCCTGAAGCTGGTGCATCCCAAGGGCTCAAAGGGCCAGAGAAACCCCATGGATTTTGCTGAGGGTTTAACATGCAGCCTCAATGGCAGCTGCACCACTCCAGGGCAACACCCAGAGCATTGCTCCCATAGGAACCCCTTCCTGATGCAGAAATCCCCTTCCTGACCCTTAACAACTTCAAGTAATTTGGGGTCATGTTTTCTGTGATGCTATTGAGGAGTTCACCTCCTTGTTTATTTCCATCCATGGTGGTGGGGTCTGGGCAGGATGGCAGCCCTAGCGCTCAGAGCTTCTGCTCCAGACCTGTAAGGGGCAGAGTAACATAAGGAGAGGTGTGTGTGAAGAGAGTTGTGAATGTTCTCCAGAGCCACGTGAAAGAAAACTTATGAAGGTGTTGTGTTTTAAGATCCTAAGGAGGTTCTTTTCAAATTTATGGTGAAATTTTTCCCAGTGGACCCCGGACACCTGCGAGAGGAGCTGACGAGGTACCGTGTTTGTTCTGTGCTCCCTCACTGCCCTGTCACCTTGTTTCTGCAGTCACTACGCATGTGTTTATTTCCTTACCATCATCCAACCCAACCTGTCTGTTTGCTGTGGTAATCCCAAATATTGACAGAGCCCCGTGCTGTACAAAACAAGACGCCAATGTGTATCTTTTCTCAATGCTCTGTTTTTATACAAAATCCACTCGATGGCAATGCAATGTGCTCGCTGCCAAATGTCCGAGCAGTTGGGCTCTCAGTTGTCTGGCTCTTGCCTCAAGCTGTGTTCTGAAAGAAGAACCTCCATTTTATTTTTGAAATGGACAGGGCGAGCTCTTAAGTTTCACAGAAAGCACTGCAAACAGGAACTAAGGATAAAACCAGTGCAGTGCTTCTGCAGAACATTAGCCCTGAGAGACAGAGATGCCCTCCGAAGCATAAAGGAGTGTTAGCTCTGAAACCTACTAATGGCCATATGAGCAGCGGGGGCACGCTGCTCAAGGTGTCCCAGATGGATCCTCCTTGGGGGGCCTGCATGCTCCTCCCATGCTCCCCCCTCCAGCCCTCCATCCTTTGGGCAGGGGCACAGGTGCACCTGGCTCTGTGTCCCATAGAAATATCCATGCTCAGGGCAGTTCCTGTCCCCCCTCCAGGTACCTCTTCACCCTGCAGATCAAGAAGGACCTGGCACTGGCGAGGCTGCCCTGCAGTGACAAGAGTGCAGCGCTGCTCGTCTCCCACCTGCTGCAGTGTAAGGGCAGCAGGGCTGCAGGGCTTTGCCTCAGCCACGCAGCACAGGGTGCCCCCAACCCTGCTCTCCTTGTGTCCCCCCTACAGCCGAGCTGGGTGACTTCCATGAGGAGACAGACCAGCAGCACCTGGCCACGCACAGGTACCTGCCCAACCAGGAGTACCTGGACAACAAGATCATGCACTACCACCGGCGGCACAGGTGAGGGCTGCTCTGCCTCTCCATCAGTGCTACAGCTTCTCAGGACCCTGGCATGCCTGCATCCTAAAACCTTTTATTAATTCCTTCCACTTCCTGGTGTATTTGGGATTCCAGGGGGAAGACGCCGGCTGAGTCAGATGCCCAGCTGCTGGATGTGGCCAGGAAGCTGGAGATGTATGGGATTCGCCCACACCCTGCCAGCGACGGCGAGGGAACGCAGATCAACCTGGCGGTGACACACATGGGGGTGCTGGTGCTGCGGGTGAGCACCACCTCCTATCCTCCTATCTTCCCCTCTCCCCCTGCCAGCCCCAAGTCCTTCCCAGTCCCACACAGCTTGGGACCTTGGAGCTGCTCTGGGCACCGCCCCAGGCTCAGCCTCTGTGCTTTGCCAGCTCGGGCTGTGCGCTGCAGTGCGTGCCCATGCAGAGCCCTTGTCATTGCATGCACGTCTGTGTAAGCACCAAAGGTTACAGGGCTGCGTCACACGCTCACCGTGTAATCTTCCAGCAAAAATAGCCATCTACTGTCTGTGCAATTACATAATGCTGTAATCACAGTGTAGCAGCAGAGTAAATACAGACTTCCTCGCAGCCGGTGTGAAACAGCACTCGCCTCCCACACCAACTAACTTCAACCTGGGAACATCTTGCCAGCACAGAAAAAATCCTAACTGTGGGTCTGCAGTTGGCAATTAGTGCTGCCAGACCCCATGATTTATTGAGAGCCGTAAACACCCCCTGTGTGCAGGCATGATTGGAGCATCTGTGAGCTCATGGCAGCCTGGGCTCTCCCAGAAAGCCAAGAGGAGAATCAGTGCTGTAGTACGGCGTGGCACCAATTCCATCTGCTCCCACTGTGTGGCTGTGTCCAAATCAATGTGTAATGATAAGAAAAGTGAGGTGTGCTTGCAGTCTATCCAAGCTGGCATTAAGGGCATGGAGGTGAGCTGAGCACTTCTTTCAAGAGCAGATTCTGCATTAACTCACCTGCCCCGTGGGCTGGAAAAGATGGGGTGCTGCTGTGACTTCTGTGAGTTTTCTCTTGGACTGCTGCAGTTTCAGCTTTAGGAGGCAGCATTCAGTCCTGAACATCAATTCCCACTCTTGGAACCAACTGATAGATCAGAACCGAACACCAGACCCCTGGAGCCCTTTGCCTAGAGCCAGGGAGGAGCACTGAGTGCTGCAGCAGCAGCTTGTGCAGAACCTGCTAGCTGAGCTCTGGCCCAGTTGTATTTCTGTATTCTCTGCTCGTCCTGTCCCACAGTAACGCTCTGTCCTTCCTTGCAGGGCAATACAAAGATTAACACGTTCAACTGGTCCAAAATTCGCAAACTGAGCTTCAAGAGGAAGCATTTTCTCATCAAGCTCCATGCAAACATTGCTGTAAGTGCTGTGCTGGGGCTTGGATGGGTAAGCAGCCAAACAGAGCCCTGCACCCTGAGCCCCGTGTGCTTGTCCCCTGCCATGCAGACTCTGTGCAAGGACACACTGGAGTTCACTATGGCGAGCAGGGATGCCTGCAAGGCTTTCTGGAAGACATGTGTGGAGTACCATGCCTTCTTCCGGCTGTCTGAGGAGCCCAAGTCAAAGCCCAAAGCCCTTCTGTGCAGCAAGGGCTCGAGTTTCCGCTACAGGTAAGGGCCCAGGGGAAAACTTTGGTGTGAGGCTGCCCAGGGCCGGGCTGAGGGCACTGCTCACACCTTTCCATCCTCACTGCTGTAGTGGGAGGACGCAGAGGCAGCTGCTGGAGCATGGGAAGAAGGCAAAGATAAAAAGCTTACCCTTCGAGAGGTACTGGGAGGTGGGGGGGGGGATGGGGTGGCAGGGCCAAGGTGAGGGCCATGCACCCATCCATGCATTCGGCCTTGCAGGAAGCACTATGCGTCCCACTACGATGAGAGGCAGTGCCGCTCCTCCCCGGACCTCCTGACAGATGTGTCCAAGCAGGTATGACCCTATGGGGGGGGAGTGGGGAGCAGCTGGAGGCCGAGCCAACACCTGGCTCTTCATCCTACCGCTGGTCCTGCTTTGCCCCTGGGCTCCCACCCACCTCTCATCCCACAGGTGGAGGAGCTGCGCTTGGCCTATGGCAGCTGCGGCTCCTTCCGCACCACCAGTGGGGTGCACACCTCCGAGCCCACACTGGACAGCCGCCACAGCGGATCTGCCACAGCAATGATGTTTGCTGCCGAGCTGGAGCGCTCCAGGCCCGAAGTGATCCCAGCCTTCCTGCCCCACTCCAAGAGCAGCTCTGCCTTCCCCCTGCTTTACACTCAGCTGGAGCTGGAGCGGGCATGGGAGCCCACCGACCCCTTCAGCAGCAGGAACCCCTTGACGTCCTTCCGCCCCCACCACAAGTTTGCTGGGAGCAGCAGAAGCCCCTCAGTGGGCAACATGCGGGAGGTCAGCGTCAGGCCGCTGGTGTACATGGACGTGCCGTGCCCTCCGCTGCCACCCGCCCCGGCCTCCCAGCTCCTCTTCTATGAAGACAGGCCACCGCCGCCCCCGTGCCATGAGCCCAGCGAGGAGGCAGAGGGAGCGGCCGGTGGGTGCATCCCCGTGGCCACAAAAATGGCCAACTGGGGTCCCGGCAGCAGCTGGATGGGGGAACTGCAGCACGAAGCCTCGCACAGGGCTGTGGGCACCGGCGTGGGCCCAGCCAGGGAGAGAAGGCAGCCGGCTCGCTCCTTCGATTACAGCCTTCAGGAGCAGCCTCCCAAGCGCTCCTGGAGTCAGTCGGACATGAAAGCCATCCGCTTCCCCTACAGCTCTGAGTTCAGGCCCCTGGGTCCGTGCCCAGCCCTGAGCAGCCGGCAGGCCGGCATGCTGCAGCACGTGCTGGCCCAGCAGCGTGCAATGCCAGGGCTGCGGCGTGCCGCTGAGCGCTACGTGGGCAGCAGCACCGAGTCCAGCGACTCCGATTGCGACCTCCTGGCTGCTGACTATTGCTCCCTGTATGGCAGAGTGCTGCGGGCACCCAGGGCCCGTGTGCGGCTGTCCTCGGGCAGCCTGCAGCTGGAGGAGGAGGAGGATGAAGAGGTGTCCTTGGCCACAGGTGCTGCTGAAGAGAGGACTTGCAGGGGGGCCTCCAGGTATTTCACGTAGGTGCCTGTTGCCTGCCGAAAGGAGAGGCCGGGCAGAGCCAAGGCTGCTGAAGGATCGCAGTCCTGCTTGTTGTTTGTGAAACAAGGTGGTTGGCTTGTATTGTGTGAGTGATGTTAGTTGTAGAGGATGTGTTAACAGATAGCTGAGGGTGTCCAGAAGTACCCATCTCCTGTGGCACACAAGGAAGATGGCACATTGCTGTCACCAGGTTGTTCCCATGCTGGGGATCCAACACCACGCAGAAGGGCTAGGGCTCTCCCAAAGCCCCACAGCCACCATCTCCAGTCCTCGCAAGGCTGGCTCAGAGCTCAGCCCCTGCTGTCATTATCAGTACACTGGGTGGAAAGGAAAAGGCAGCCGCATCCCCTCAAAGTTCATGAACATCTTGCTTTCCCAGCCCCGGGGAAGCACACGCTTCCCCCTGAGAAGGGAGCAGCATGGGCACAGAGCTGCCACTGTCCCAGCATAGAGCTTGCCTGCTACCTCACCTTGCAGTCATGCTCCCAGCCCTTGAGAGCAGCTGCACACATTTTTTTTTTTTCTTTTTTCCTATGTAATAAAAAGACCATTACCCTACAACTACAGGCCATCTGCCAACAGGAGAATGGTGCTACAGAGGTACGATGTTAGAGGAAGATCTTTCTACTTTTTGTTTGATTTTTAATAACTCCATGAGGCTGTAGGACATGACTACAATAGGGACAGTATATCTATGAGATACGGGAATGGATTTCAGGAACACAGGAGCTGAAGCAAGGACCAAATAGATTAAGAAGTACAAAGAACTAGGTTTATGGTTACTGTCCCACACTGAGCATCATTGTCTTTTGTTTTAGAAGCTGGACAATAAAAAGCAGTTGTTCACAGCTGAAATTTAGTTTCCTTTTTGCCTTATCTGATTGTGACCCACCTTCCCCTGCACCTCAGAGCTCCCTGGTAGCCCTCAGTGCTCCACAGGGCTGCTGGTCTCAGTTCCCTCTGTGCCTTCATTGTCTCAGCAACCACTAAGGCTCAATGTGTGCTGCTGAAAACAGCCACATTCTTGGTCAGCTGCCCAAAGAAACATGCTAGATCAATAGCAGAGCAGAGTTTACTTTTGCTCTAGATTCTTCCATGCTGGAGCTGTGAACTACCTTCACCCTCCATGCTGCTTTGGGATTGCTCTATTAAAAAAGAGAAAACTTGAAGAGTTGTTTCTTCCCTTTCCCACACTGTACGTCAGAAACAGCATTTAGGTGTTATGCAGTTCACATGCATAACAGGGTAGGGAAAAAGTAATCTACTACAAAGTTTATACACGGTCCCTAAAGAATACCCCTTAAATATTTGTCATACCTTAAGAACACAGGGAAATCTGCAGTCACTGCTAGGTCCTGAGCATGTGGAGCTGTGCAAAGGCAGGCCAAGATGAGCCTTGCCTTGGGTGCTGCCCAGAGTCCCACCAAAAGACATCATCCTCATCCAACTACAGTGCACAAACCTTCGGGAACTGTCAGCTCTGGCATGCAAGACTATGCTGGGAAAACTACATTGAGATGGAGAAACAAGGACTTGGAGGCTATTTTTGGATTTTTCCATTGAGCACAGAGCTCTGTGCTCTGCATGCACACTGTAACTCAGCACATCATACATGACGACCAGCAAACACAGCGGAGGAACAAAGGAGAAAGTGATAGAAATGTTAATTTCAACATCTTACACTAAATTCATCACATGAACAGCTTTCCTGGAACCAGGTAAGATAAAGAAACGATCACAGTAAGCACAAATGCTTAACCAAGAAAATCCTTAACCATGGGATTAATATGGGGTGTATGGGACAGTATGGGACGCTGTCTCTTCTTAGCCCCATTCACCAAAAAAAGGAAAGAACATCAACTGAGCACACTTTTACTAGTAAAAGAAAACCAGGGTATGGGGGATGACAGAAGGATTTAACAGCTGATGGTGGAAGATATCAGTACCCAGGAAAAGGCAAAGGTACTCATTAAGCAAGCAAGCAGTGCTACCTGTGTGTATTAGGGTATAAAACATCAGAACGTACACAGTACAGGAAGAACATCACTCTGGAGGAGCACTAAGGTTTCAGCCTATCTAACTCATTTCTGTGCTAAGTGTAACTTTGTTCCTTGGAACAGTGTGAAATAAGGCCAGCCAGCATACACACCAACACAACTTTGCAACGAAAATAATTTTATTCCAGCGTTAAGTCATGAAACAGTGTGATAAAAACCAGGCTTTTAACAAATACTAAGCTTTGTGCAAACATTAAGAATCTATATACTCTCCTACCCAACTACAGACACCCAACTGAGTGCAAGAACAGGCTTTCACTATACCACATGCTTACCAGATAGAAGAGTATCAGAGAAATCAGCTGGGGTTTCATCAAGAAAGATATATACTTCAATACCAATTCTTCTCAATGTGCAGTTGGACAACTAACAAACCAACCAAGATGGCTCTTGCCTGAGTATTTTGGTACCTTTTCCCATTGGTTATCTGCTAGCAGCAGAACAGTGTTAAGTTACACAGTTCAACAACTAATACATAATGGGGAAAAAGTCAACTGTCCTCTAAAAACCAGTAGCACAGACATCCATTCTTGAAGAGTTACTGTCCTATGAAGCAGAGATCTTAAGTGCAAAAATGACACGTGCAGTAAAATGAAGTTTTAAAGGGACTGATGCTGTAAGAGAACGACAACATGGATTATTTCCCCTCCACACACTGCCCTAACAGGTAGGTATACATCCACCCACTTCATGGGGCGCACCAAAGTTCAGCAACTTGTCCTATTTGTGGTATGACTACACGTTCCTTTCTCCCCTTAATTCACTATTCCCAGCTTACCCAGAATTGGTGGCAGAGTTGCATAGATTAAAAGACCCTGAGTCCACAGGCCAGAGCCACCATTTAAAACATTCAACAGAACTCCCATCACCCCTCCACTTGGCCTCATAAAAAAAGCACCTTAAAAGGAGGTGGCACGGAATAAAAATGTGCTTTTACTTCTGAGAAATTAGTATGCAGGTGTTTAAAATGAGATTTAGCAGACAGGTGCAGCAGACAGAAGCTGAGGCCTTTCTGCACCTCTGCTCCACGGCACCCAGCAGCATTCCCACACCTGCACGCGGCTGTCGGAGCACCAATGCTTGTCTGACCCTGAAGATGCCTCTGTGGGACTGAAACCAAGCTGATCACTGGAGCTGCACTCCGTGCTGCACAGCAGCTGCTAGGATAACAACAGCATGGGGGTGGGGGGACCCCAAGCCTTTTTAATGAGGATGCCCACGCAGCTCTGCGTGCCTCTGCCGAAAACCAACGCCAGCCTGAAGGGGGATTCCACACCTCTGCCCATCTATTAGAAACCCAGAACAAAACGTACGACAGAAGAAGCTTGTGAAAGTTTACAGAACTTAAATATTTATTTTTAAACCATTTAAAACCCCCCAAAACATTGAAATAAGCTTCATCTATAAACAGATTTACAAGACTACCAACTACAGAAGCTAGAGGAGCACTACAATTTGTTTCTGTGATGCAGTTATTCTGTAAAGCTTCAGATCAACTGTATTTACAACTTCTGCTGCTTTTACATTTATAAAAATATTTATTTAATCCATAACATTGTTTTCAAAAACTATTTCCAGACTTTGTTTCTCAGATATAAATTCTAATCGAATTTCAGTTATATAGCAGATGAAAGTTTTAAACAGAAACACTTTCTTAAAATTAAAACAAGGAATTAAAAGTAATTTCTTTTTTTTTTTTTTCTTTTATACAGTGTAGGCACCATTGAAAATAATTGTCCTTGGCATATCTAACCACCATCTCTCACAAGTGTCCTTTATATAAAAACGATGTAATGGCAACATTTGACTAAAAATGCAGTATTTACTTGCACACCATTACTTTTTCAATATTTGGCAGATATATTTCAGATTCTTTAAAATGACTTTTGTGCAAAAACAAAATGTGCAGGTCTGAACCATAAAATAAACACACCCAGCCTTTATCAAAAAATAAATTTACACCAACAGTTGCACAGCTAAGTACTGAAAAACAATCCCAGTTCAAAACTTCAGCATAATATACATACTGGGTTGAAAAAGAAGGAAAAAAAAGAACAAAACCAAAACAAAACAGAAGAGATTACCCATCTAGCAGTACCATAAATATATAACTGAAAGCAACTTTATAGTCTTACCTACTTTTTATGAAAAAAAATCACTCCGTACTGCACAGTACTACCTGTGTGTGAAAGAATATCTATAACTCAGCTCTTTGCATATTAACTGGTAAATACATATTTAAAATACACTTCCAGAAAATTATAAACAAATTATGCCGATGTATTTAATGTATTTAAGAACAAAAACGTGTATAAATATCTTACAGGAGAAACAACACCACCACAAAGAACGCTGGTGTTACGCTTATACCTGCTCGTGAGGTACGGTCATGCGACGCTCGGCTTCTCTGGCTCCCTTCCACCCAGGTACTTGTAGTCAGAGGAGAAACATTAAATTAAATTGGACTTCAGGTTCCGTCCATTATTGCCAAAAGCCCCACCCCCTCAACTGTATTGCTTTAATTTTCCTTCCATGACGATGTAAGATCGAGTTCCTACTTGCTCTAAAGGTAATACACATACTGTACATCAGGACAGTCCTGTTGCTACATATCACCTGCAAACTATTGACATATTGCTCTCAAATGTATTTAATCATAGAGCTGCCTAAAATACTGTACCAATTTAGAATCGTTGTAGATACTGTTGCAGGTTTATTTCCCAGGGCACGATAACTATATGCTGGTTGAAGCAGGTGCTACAGCAATAACCTTGCCACTACGTTTTGAACACGCTCGTGAAAAAGCTATTTTCTCTGAAGCTTGTTAGTGATTTACAAAAGTTTAACTCATGAATACAAAAGACCTGTACATCCCTGTGCACAGGAACAAAACAGCATCAAAACATACTGTACTCGCACTTCCTATTAACTAAAGTAATGGTTATTTCTAAAAGCAAAACTGCACCTCAACTTTTATCAGATTAAACAGGTGAAACTACAATATTAAAAGTTGTTCTTTACAAAATAATTTCCTGAAAATATAAAACCATGTGCACTGCCACAAAATAGTTGAGTAGGTTCTTTCAAATCCTCAAATCACCATCAATATGTTGCAAAGATCCAAAAGGCACAAGGAGCTCATGAGCTAAGCACTGCCAAGCTTGAAGTAGTTTTGGTGGGTTTCACTGGGTCCATACGAAACAGCAGTCAATTATGTGAAGTTTCTTAGGATGAGTCATTAACAGAAAATCTACAGGTATGAAAATGCAAGGAAGAGTGTTAATTACTATATTTTGGTGTGGCAAACAGCAAGTAACTACCTGTGCATCCTTAAACTGGGAAGTGCCTTCACCTCATCCTAACAGCTCAAAGGAAAACAAACAAGAAAACACACACCAGAATACGCATCCAGAAAACATTCCCTAGAAAGATAATGGAAAAGGAGACTCCTTGACTTACTTGCTATGAACGTGCTTAAGATATAACTGCAGGCTAAACTGAAGGGAACAAAGTGTAACAGCTCCAATAAAACTGCAGTGCTAACAGCAGAAAAAGTCACCGTTTCTTACTAGCTTTTGTTTCAATAACCAGAAGTGTTCTGTATGAACAAGGAAGCTAAAAGCTGAGCCCTATATGTAGCAGATCTTCCACTTATCAAAGAACTGTACTCAAATCTCCCTAACGCACGAAGTGCTTGAAATCAAACAGCTTTTCCCAAATGGAAGTGCTTCCCCCAGCACACAGCGCATGCAATACTAACTT